ACCAAACACAATGAGATCTATTGGATGGGAATCGAAATAATTTAATTTTCCGCTGTGCATGTATAAGTAGATTCCCAACAGTCCGAACGGATAGAAACTTTTCCGTTTTGATTTCTATAAATATCACTTCACTTTCGTTCTTCACAATAACTACGAAGAGAGTTTCCTTGTAAGATATATTTGTAAAAATTCTTCTTTGAGCTTAATTTTTATTTTCATTTCATTTATTTCTTTATAGCAAAAACTTTGATTGTTGAATCAAATTTCTTGAATTATTTTTCATCAAAATTTTTCATTTCTCTTTGTACTTAACTTATTTATATCGATTTTAAAAGAAAGACATATTTTTGAAGAAGGTATTTGCACTTACATTACATAAATCTTTCCACTTCTTCATATTGAAAAACTTTGATTGTTAAATCAAATTTCTTGAATCAATTCTCTCCTCAAAGTTTGATCTCTCTTTTTTTCTCAATTTATGTATATCAATTTTAAAAGATATATATTTTTGAAGAAGATCTTTGCACTTATATTATATAAATTTCTTCATATTGAAAACTTTGATTGATTGAATCAAATTTGTAAAATTATCATATTCATCAAAGTTTTCTATTTCTATCTTAGTGCTTAATTTATTACATCCATTCATTAAAGAGATATATTTCTTGAGAAAATCTTTTTGAATTTATATAGTATTTACTTCATCTTAATCTTCTCATTGATAAACTTTGATTGATTAAATCAAACTTATAAAAGCATCATGTTTATCAAAGTTTCTCATTTCTCTCTTATTACTTGATTTATTATAATCATTCATTAAAAGAGAGATATTTCTTGAGAAAATTATTTGAATTTACATTGCATTTAATTCTTTTTCATCTTCTCATTGAAACACTTTCATTGGTCGAATCTAATTTTAATTATCCTTTTCATCAAAGTTTTTCATCTAACGTTTGAGCTATCATTTGTTACTATTCTTTGAAGTGTTAGGCCTCTCTTAATACTTAATTTGTTTTTTATTATCTATCAAGAGAGGATTAGATTGTAAAATCACTTTGATAAAGTGTGGATCGTGTTGAGGTCCCGAAAAATTCAACATTGTGTAAGGATCGATGCTCATTGTTGCAAGTCACAATGTGGACCATATTGAGGTCCCGTAAAGCTCAATAATGTGGGTTGTATTGAGGTCCCGTAAAACTCAACTTTGTAAAGGATCAGTGTTCATTGTTTGTAAGTCACTGAAAGCGTTGTAAAGGGTTGGATTGCATCATAAGTCAATCAACATAGTGAAAATGTCTTGCTTGTGTTAGAGAGCGTGATAACGAAGGACGTAGATCATTACTTTTGATCGAACCTCCACAATATCATTTGTATTCTCTCTCTCCATTTTACATATCACTTTTATACTTGCGCTTATTATTTGAATTTATTAATTTAGTCTTTACTTGCTTTCTTATTTGTGCCTATTTGTTTAATTTATATATTTGCTATCATATTGGTTTACATCTAACATTAATTTTTTAAATAGTTTTAAAAACCAATTCACTCTCCTCTTGGTTAATCATTCTTGGGTTTCCACTATGTTCGATGTTCTAAAAAGTCTGCCGAAGTGGCGTCAAGGTGCTTGACTTGGGTAAAACGCTACGCCTTGGCAAGAAGCGCCTAGTGGCATTTTATTAATATTTTAATTTTTCCTTCTTTTAAACTTGTTTTATTTAACTTTAATTTTAAGTTTTTAAACGACTTTATCTATACGAAAGTCAAAAAGAAAACACATTATAAAATTTCAAGTAGTATTTGTTGAAAGCCCAAGAAAGACTAATCAAGAGGGGGTGAATTAGTTATTTAAATCTCTTTAGAAAAAGAATGCAAATTTAAGCAATTAGAAAATAGATAATATGCAAGCAAGATAACATAAGTAAAATAGTAAGTAGAAGGGATAGAAGGCCAAACAATGTAATATAGAGGTTCGATCCAAACAACAATCTACGTCCTCCTTTACCAAACTTTCCGTCACGAGTAAGATATTTTTCACTATTGTTGGTTGACTTATTATGCAAACCAACCTTTAGAATGCTTCAGGTGACTTACAACTAAGGAGCAACGATCCTTTTACAATGTTAAGCTTCCCATGACCTCAACACGACCCACAATTCAAAAATAAGAAAAACAAAATTACAACTGAAGGTTTTTCTCTTAATAGATGATATGAACACAATTAAGTATCAAGAAAGAAGTAGGTACAACAATTTAATAAATTGCAAAAAGTATAGCTCAAGTGCTGGTTGAAAAACTTTAATTGAGATAAATGATTTTTGCAAGTTTTGATCACTCAAAATGTTTTTCAAGAATTAAATGATTTGTTCTTTTAGATATTGAAAACTAAGGTAGAAAATGACAATAAATACTACTCTTAAAAGCTCAAGAATTGTTGTTCCAAATATGCAAGAAAATGAGGAATTTATAGTGTTCAAACGGTCATAAATCTGCCAATCTGAACACAGGATCCGGATGTCTGCCAGGGATCCGGACAGACAATTAGTCTTTTGAAAAATGGTCAAAAAAATTGACCGTTGGAGGGTCCATCCGGACGTCTGGATAGGTAGCAATTTTGCCCTTCCGGATTTTCATTCGTGATGACTTTTATCTATGTAGTTCATTGAAGGATTTTCTTATATATTTTGTATAGATAAGTATTTTTGTAAATATTTAATCGTCAAATTGAAATATTTATCTTTCGAAAATTATTTTTATGCAAATAGTTGTGAGTCAAGAGAATATTTTCATGCATAAAAATTTTGAGCTATAGTCGACGCTAGATATTGAAGTTTTTACCTTTACATTTGAGTTCAAAAACACATCCATATCCAATGTCTTCTTCTCTTCTTCCAATGTGATGTTTGGCGCGAAGGCTTGATTTTTCATGTTTGTCAATCTCCAATTTGCTTTTATGTTGATCGTCATCCTCAAAAGCATTCGTCCATGTGCATGATTCTCGATCTTGATTCTTGTGCCTTTATCATTATCGACACTCAAATTTAATTTGTTAGAATTAACGCGATTTGTTTGTCATAATAAAATGAGAAGTCAACGATTAGTAAACATTTGTCTAGTTGAAAGTTGAAAATATTAAAAATCTACTTTTTGCATTTCGAATACTTGAAAATTGTATAAATGACTAATTGTAAGAATTACTAAGTAAATATAGTACTTTATAATTTTAGATGTTTGGTATAAATTATTTTTTAAATGATTAAAAATTTAAAATAAAATTAAAAATCAGAAAATGTTTTTTTACGTCTAAACCTCGTTTAAACTCGTCTAGGCTCGTAAAGTTCAAAGTTTGACTTCCACATCTAACCACGTTTTCCATTTTTCAGAATACTGGATGTGCCTAATTAAATCTAAACTTTTTAGACCAAAATAAAAAAATAAAAAGGAGGTTGCATAACCCTCAAGTTTAACCTTTCGAATTTTTAGTAACTACATCAGCGGTTGCGAGTTTAATTTGTTTTGATTAGATAATTAAACTTCAATTTAATTCTAATTTCATTATTCTTGACGTTCTGCCGCCTGCTACTCCAAACCAATAGAAATTAATTAATGGTAGTCATACGGTAATTAATCTTCCACCTAATTGATACATGTCACCCTAAAAACAAACACAATTATGCTACAGTGGCATAATAGTTGACATAATCCTTAACATAATGTTACATGACATACTTTTTTTAGACAGCTTAAAACACAGTAAACTTTTTTATATATTTATCTACTGATATATATATGATAGAATGAGTGTGATAGCTATTTCTTTGAATTGAATTGTTAAAAAAAGACAGTTTTCATCTACTAATTTTATGACATGACATTGTAAGCCAAAAGAAATTTCAATAGGGCGGTCGCACCGCCCTATGAGGTTGAGCCACCTCGGCGGGTAGCTCCCCACACACCCTCGATATGTGTGGGTCACCCGTCGAGGTGGCATCTCGACATTGGATGATGCGCCCGTCCCACTGAAAATTCCCTCTGCATTGCCACACAAAGATTATATGGAAGATTTGTTATTGTTAATTAAGTAATTTTCATCAATTTGAAAGACGACATAATAATAAAATTTATAATTAAATTGAAGTTCAATGGTCTAATTAAAATTAAAACGATCCAATTGATACGAATTCATTGAAAGTTGAGTGATTGCAGATAAAACTTGCCCAACGGTAGATGTTCCCCCAATGGTTATATGCCTAACAGCTGCGTCTTTTTATTGTCAGACTTTTACGAACCAAAGGATTACACTATTTGTAAAATGTTGGATGACAATATTATTGGCAATGTATGAATTAAGATGTTCGAAAATTCAAGGCGTTCAAATGGCATTTCTACTTGCAATTTGATGTCCCAAAAATTTTAATGTCCTTTTTTCTTTCATTAAATGTTAATTTCATTTCTAGATATATTTACAATTCTACAAAATTTTGATGAACAAGACGACCTCACTAGAACTTTATTCGAAGAAAGAGTGTGCTTATTGTGCCAGAAGAATGAAATCTGCTTAAAAAGAAAACTGTGTTAATATTACAGACACAAAGTTACAGTCAGTTCACTTATTTTTCTTCACACATATACATCAGAAAATAGACAACAGCAGAGGCAGCAACCACCACAATGGCAGACCAAGTGTTATCTACTAAGTGGAGGGAGGGGAGAGAGCGACCGAAAAACAAAATTCGGAGATGGGTTATTTCTCTACTAAGTTTTTCTAGAGCTCTCGACTCATATAGTATGACTGTAACACAGGCCAATGTAGATAGTGAGCTTAGATTAAGAAGCTGCGGCTAGGGGAGGCCAATGAGATGCCTCTTTAAAGAACTTGGGAGGAGTATCAGTTTTGTCTATTTCATATCGGTTTTCAACCTCCTCTTCTTCTTCGTCTTCAGCATCCCACAAAAATCTAGCATAGGATGCTAGCACATAACTGCACGGACATTAATACGTGTTCAGATTCAGCAAAAACAGATTAGCTAACACATTCCTTGTAATTTATCTAAGCAAAGTAAGACTATTGTACATTTTGGCTACAACATACTGATCATGAAAATTGACCAAAAGGCTCAATGGACTACCAAGATAATTTACAGATCAAAATACTGCATCCAGTGCCATCCCAATTATCTTATTATTCATGGTACCGTTTAGGAGTTGTCAAAGGCCGAGTAGTCAGTGCAAATATCTTCGACTTCTTTCTTTCGTCGGTGTTCTTGCGAGTTCGTGTTTNATAGTGTAAAATTGGGATCAGTTTGATCAAGAATTGTAAAGAATTTTGATCTGGTGTAGAATTTGAATACAATCATTAAAAAAATGCATGCAATTTCACTACTAATTTATTTTGGTTATTCTAGAAACAAGAATCAAATTAAGATTGAATAGTATCATCAAAATGGCATGCAGATTAAATAATTATTTTAAGACAACGAAAAAATGCTTCTTGATTTAATTGTAATAAGTACCTCTTTCAAGAACTTGGCATAATTTGCCAACAAGAGAGTATTGTTAGGGTTTGCTTCAATCATTTTTCGGTAATAAGAATCCGTATTCTCATTCCCATGGCTATTCGGATCTTGAGAACCAGATCCCAAGCCGTCATCCGACCCCCTCCCACCACCTCCGCCACCTCCGCACACCCTGCCACCACCTACACCGCTTCCACGGTCCATCACAGCGGCCTGCGGCACCCTCGCCTTCTCTGCAACCGCCACACACCCCTCTTCCTCCGGCGCTCCCAGCCCGGAGCTGGACAACAACATGGAGCCGGACCCTACCTCCAGCCCTTCTCTTCTCCCCTTGATCTTCACAGGCTTGGGGGTCCCTGCCAGCTTCACACTCTTCTCGGGCTTGAAAGGCTCTCTGAGGTCCGACTCTAATACGGGTCGAGTTGGAGTGCTTCTACCCAGGCTATCTTCAAAACTAAACGACATTGTCAAGCAGACAGATCGGGTTCTTGTCAACAGAGGCAAAATATCGGGTTCGGGAGATGACCCGGCTGTTGAATTGGGTATCCATGAATTCAAGATTGGTGATGAAGAGCTTCTCAACATTATTCTTTATCTTTTTTTGGTTTGATTTAGAGAGAAAAAGGAAGTTGAGCTACCCCTGAGCCCTCCGCGTTGGAGGAGAAAGAGCGGAGCTAAGTCAATGCCGAGTTTTATAGGAATGGAGAGTGGTTGAATGAGTGGAATCCAGTGGTGAAAATGGACAAAGAAGATTTAAGGTTAATTATTATAATCCTAATGTAAACAATAATTTTAATGTCCTCATTTAATTCTCATTTTTGTCAAAATATATTTCTCACTCTTCTTTATAACAACACATTTTTTTATTAAAATAATATTACATATAAATAAAAAAATTCATTATTTTTCATCCACACATTCTCATTAATCTAATATTTTAAAATTTATTTTTCCATAAAAATGGGTATCAAACGCCTTGATAATATTATTTATAATAAGCGACTACAACATTAATTCTATGTAACAATTTATTATGTAAGATATTAATTTTCTATAATTCTATCGTATCAAATGACAAGCTAATTCGAGCCTTTAAAATTCTCAAAAATCATTTATTTGAACATTAAATGAGCATGTGATATCAAACTATGGCTGTATTTGATTGGAGGTGGAATTCCATAAAAAATGAAATTGGAATTCCACCTTGTTTGATAGCATTTTTTTAGCCTAGAATTGAATTTCCAACTTGAGTGCCACATAAGCCAAATTCCACCAATTCAAAGAATTAGAATTCTGAACAAAATGGCGAGAATTGGAATTCCTTGTGATCGAAGCATTTTTTTTTATTATTATTATTATTTGATAATGAAAACAACTTCTAAGAATTATTATAAAAAAATATTTCCCTTTAATTGACAATTTTCGTGTAAAACAAAGTCAAACGAACACTAAAAAATAGATGATTTTCTTGTTTTTTTTGTTGGCAATGGAAATAAATTTTATCCCTAATACCAGTAAATTATATCCCTTTATTTAACAATTTTCATGTAAAATAAAGCCAAATGAACACCAAAAAATATTTTCATTTCAACATTTTCCACGTGAAAAATTATATCAATCAAACACAATAATTTACAATTCCCAAGAAAATAATTTCTAGACAATTCATTTCCCTGAAATTCGTTTTCTAAGCAATTCAATTCCATTTTTGTAATCAAACGAACTCTAAATGGTAAAACATTTTAATAAGATTTTATTTATTCCTTTGGTCCCTCAACTATGGCAAAGGTACAATCAGAGATCCTATTTGTTATGGTATGAATTGTATGGGACTTGAGGATCGCATAGTGCTTATTGAAGCAGACCCACCATCATATTTTAGCCATTCAAGTCGGGGATGACCGCATATGCCATGATTGTTTCGACTAAATGGCGAGGATGCAAATTTGGACATTCCTCGAGTGCATGGGATTACAATCGTGGCAATCTGCATTGTCTAAAATCTTCGAGATGAAAATGCAGAGACCATATATTTCACAAGCAATGTGATATCCAAACTCGAGATATGACCTCATGAGTTTCGATGCACCATTAACTTGAGTTGTATTTCAACTTTTCAAATAGAGTATGATTTTATTTTCTTCAGCCAGAGGTCACGTTACTTATTTACATTATCAATAAAATACAGCAAAAAATATCAATTCTCAACATCTTTGAAGTGTCACAAGCTGGAGATACTAGTCCTACAGTTTAAGAAAATTGAGAATACGATTGCAACATTGAAAAATGAGCGATACAATGAAAGATTGACGATCCCAGGTGGAATATAACATAATTAGAGTTTGTGAATAGTATATTTTTGGAGAATATGCAATCAAAAAGTCAAAAAAAAAATTATTGATTTGTATGTAGAATATTTTATTTTATGAATGTGTGATAAAGAACGTTCTTATAATAATTAATTTTAAATTTTAAAGGATGACAAAGGTAAACTTATTATGATAAAAAATGAAAGTGTTCACGCTAGTGGTCAACTAGTACGCAGCTAGTGAGTTCTTTGGCGTGCTCTAGAGATAACCCGGTGGGTCCCTAGGCTATGGGCCCACTTAGAGGTGAGACCAAAAGGAGCCCATCAAAGTGAAAAATATCTACAAATTTTCTGCTTTTGTCACTTCTCTTTTACTGTTTTAGTGCCCTTTGGAGTAATCAATCAAGAGTTATATTCAAGCAATTATACATTATCCGCATCATTATTAAATTTTACTATATATATTTATAGTAAAATTACTGTAAGAATCTTCACATAATACAAACATAATCGATAACCTTGTTAGAATTTAGTCGCACAAAACCTTAAACAAATCAAATGGTTTCGATGAGGAAGGATAAAATTATGAAAACTGAAAAAGAAATAATTTTTTTTCCGGTAATAATTACATATTAAGCCCTTGTTTCGTATAAATTAAAATCTCGATTTTAATCTAAGACAAAGTCTAACATCTAATTTTAATCACATATATTATGTGACCCATAAATTTTCAACCACACATTTTATCAATTTTTATCAAAATTTACTAAAAGTTTGATATTAATCCTAATCAAATGAGGGCTAAGTCTTAGTTTTGTAGTATGTTGCTTGTAGGAAATCAACTTTATAAATTATAATTAAAATTTATCTATCTAATAATATAACTATTAATTAGGGATGACAACGGAACAGGGCAGGTTGAGATCGGGTGGGGTGGGAGCATTGGCGGACCTATATATGGTCCTAGTGGATCAAGTGACCCACCAACTTTCAAGATTTTTTTCTTTTTCGATTTTAGAGCCAAAAATCAGATTTGGACAATAACGGTAGTTGGGCTTTTCTTATTAGAATAGAATTACAGTGATGACCAAACAATTGAGAAAGTGAGAATTAAGATAATTTAGTCATCTGCGATATTTAATTTGAAAATTCTTTGGAAATTATTATTTGAAATTCTTTGAGAATTTATTTTACATATATATGAGATTTGTGAATCTATGACAATAATTACTTGTATGTATTTATGTAGTATACATAATTTTTTAATAACTTTTTAATAAGTTTGATCCTCACCCCACTAACACCAAATGTCTGTGTTCGCCACTAGGTGGGAGGAGAGAATTTCCCGTCCCATATCCTCCTCGTTGCCCGTTTAAGGAGGGGGTGGGTCGGGGCCGTTGCCTCGTTCAATACTCGTTTAAGACCTATATATGGTCCTAGTGGATCAAGTGACCCACCAACTTTCAAGATTTTTTTTCTTTTTCGATTTTAGAGCCAAAAATCAGATTTGGACAATAACGGTAGTTGGGCTTTTCTTATTAGAATAGAATTACAGTGATGACCAAACAATTGAGAAAGTGAGAATTAAGATAATTTAGTCATCTGCGATATTTAATTTGAAAATTCTTTGGAAATTATTATTTGAAATTCTTTGAGAATTTATTTTACATATATATGAGATTTGTGAATCTATGACAATAATTACTTGTATGTATTTATGTAGTATACATAATTTTTTAATAACTTTTTAATAAGTTTGATCCTCACCCCACTAACACCAAATGTCTGTGTTCGCCACTAGGTGGGAGGAGAGAATTTCCCGTCCCATATCCTCCTCGTTGCCCGTTTAAGGAGGGGGTGGGTCGGGGCCGTTGCCTCGTTCAATACTCGTTTAACTTTTGGGTAAACTAAGATTTTAATTGTTTGTTATATTCCTTAAGTAATTTTAGTTTCCATATTCTATTAGAACTATTGAAATTTCGTGATATTTTCCATTTGAAGTATTGAATTGTGGAGTAATAATAATAATAATAAACGGGGCGGGGCAAAGCCCTTGTTACGCACACCCGCCCCGAGGCAAAATCTCCCACTGTTTCCGATCCAAATACCCGATTAAGATGAACCCCATGAATATAGAGTTTAACGAAATTTTTTGCCATCCTTACTACCAATATTTCTGTACATTTATTGGTTCGGATTCTATCACAATTGATCCAATAATTGTTCCATTTGTTGGTTTCTTCGGTGTAAACATGTAGAGAAATAATGACCGTCGTTTTTGCGAGTGCTTTATTTTTTGGTTGGCGACCAATCACGTCACTCCTGCTGATAGAAAAGTTTTGGCCACCAGCCGATTACCTTTATTTTTTTATTTTTTATTTTTAAGGGTAAATTTCATCTTCGACCATTGAATATTTATCGAAATTTCAATTGAATTAATAAACTTTAATTTATTTCCAATTTTTTTTTATTTTTTTACATAATGATATGTGAGAACTTGAAAATATAAATAACTTAAAATATTAAAATATGCGCTTTTCATAATTTATTACATTTGCGATGAATTGGATAATCATGAATTTGAGGGGGGGGAAAACAAAAATTTATTCGTAGGGTTAATTATTAAAGTAAATTGCATATTTTCTTAAAGTTTCGTTGTTGTCTCGAAAGAATATCGAATTCTTATTTCTATCAATTTTTGTCATCATAGTTTTTAGTAAATGATAAATTATTAAACCTCTTAAACTGTAAATTCAATAAAGAATTTTTTGTATTATATTAAATTAGTTGTTAAAAGAGAATAAATAAATGGAGAAAAAAAGTTAAAAACTTTCTCTTTAGATACCACCATCAAGGCATCACCATGATTGAGTTAATGATAAAAATTCACATAAATTATCCATGGGGACTAACTTTGCTAATTTATGGAAAGTTGGGATGAAAAGTTGTTAGGATAAGATTGCAACTTTAGAAAGAATTTGGGACTAAATTGCAATTTGTTATTATTATGGTAAATTATTAGAATTGTTCACGTGGGTGATCAACTAGTCCGCGGCTGGTGAGTTTTGTGGTGGGCTCCATGAGCCACCAATATAGAATAAGATACATGGGCCACCATAAATTCCTAAATGATATTATTAAGTTTTGTTAATAGCCTCTAGATTAAAAGGTTGAACCCCAACTTTAAGAGTCCCCATCGTTCCGTCTCTGAAACATTGTGAGGAGGTTAATCATGAGATGTGCCCCCAACAGGTCAAGAAACAAGAACTGCCTGTACACTGGTGCCTACAAAGAGTCTCAATTAATGTTTCAAAAATCGAACCCTTACACTGCAGCTGTCAGCAAGGTTAATAGCCTCTAGATTGCTTATGCAGTATCTTGACTACTACATTTTTGATACTAACTTATTGACTATAAATTC